CCAACTCCAGACTCTCGGGTTTGGATTACAAGGTCTCGTAGTCTACTGCGACGGTTGACCGCACCAAGACCTGAATCAAGCCTAGGGTCCGTGCATGAATACGGTCGACCGGCCTTGCACCGCGGTCAACCGTTCATCGCTAAAAAAACCAATTCCTGCTTCCAAAACCTGTTCTAAACCAATTCCTTCGCAAAATCTACAATTCTCCACCTCGGCAAAGTTTTTCCAAAACTGAGCTGACACCAATACCAACCAAACATCTCACTTGTTGCGTCCAGTACGAAGTAGAACAAATCCACGATAACAGACTTAAACCACAACAAGTCGAGACCCAAATGAGAATGTGAGCACTCTCCAAATGTTAATATCAACTCATCAAACCGGCTGCATCATAAATGACTGCCTACATATCCTCTTGCCTAAGGAATCAAGCATTCACGTAGTTCCCCCAATGGCCTCCAAAGGCCCTCAATCCAATAGAAGAGTTCTCAACCCTTCTCCAACATTACCAACGAATCTGCGGCTGATAGCACTCCTAATGGCCCCAAAGTGAGACGAACCAAACACCTCCACCGGGTGAACCAACGGCCATATCCAAATCCAAACTATGCCCACCAGCTACACTTGAATCAACCAACTAATCATCTGCATCCACATCAATATGATCCCCAAACTGTGTCGCCTCAGCTGGAATCCCAAATGATGCAGTATGATCTGGAGAATATGGAGTAAACTCCAACTAACGTGGAGTAGCATCACTCTCCACTCGTTGCGATATCCCAATGATTTGATCAACACTCTCCACCTGCCGAGAGTCAAATGTGATATACCTGCTCAGAACAAAATCAGAAGCTAATACCTGATAATCAAACACACCTCTAAATCCCAAATGTGCACTCGGATCAAATCTCACATCCTCGATGTGACCATATGTTGGGCGACCAAACATCCAAAGCAACCTAATATCTGAAGCAGCTCCACCAGATCCAAAATCTCTAAACGTAGCAGTCGGCAACATATGACTAAGATGACCCATATATGTCGAAGCCCGAACACCAAAACCAATGCTCGACATCAAACGTCGATCCTCCTCAAGTAAGAAACGACCCATCAAAACTGTCATCTCATCTCGTCGCCCTAATGTTTCCTCTCCAATAAAGTATCTCAACCTACCATGAGCTCGGCTCAAATGCAGAAAAGAACCCTTACCAAAATCAGAACAACGTGTTACCTTTCCACCAATACACTTCCTCCACCTGTTGTTGACTACTAGGACTTCATACCAACAGGACTTGGTTGCAATCCACAAATACCTAGAACAGTCCCCAACATAGGAAATTAAATGCCGATTACCTCCCAATTATGCCTCCTTGGAAGGCCCCCAAATGCTTAATGAACACTACCTAGAAGACCTCTCGATCGATGGATAGAAGTGCCAAACTCCACCTCGGTCTCCTTGCTCATACCAATGTGCTCACAGAACTTCAATCTGTAGGTCAAAGCACTCCTCAACAATCCATGCACGATACTAATAATCGAATAATCCAGCCTCAACAAACGCCACAGTCTAGCCAAATCTAAAGAGGTCGTCAGCTCTCTACCAATTATCGTGCTCCCAATCAAATAGTACAAATTCTTCCTCCTGACGCCCTTCATCACAATCATGGACCCAAATATAACCTTCAGAGATGCATCCTCTAAGGTCACCCTATTGCCTGCTACCTCCAAAACTCTAAGTGAAATGATGTTCTTCTTCAACTGAGGAACGAACCTCACTTCATCCAACTCCCGAATCACTCCGTCACACATCCTAATATGAACGGTACCGATACTACCAATAAGGCATTCATGATCATTACCCATGAGCACGATATTCCCTCTTTCCAACTCCTGAAAGCTGGAGAACCAATCCCTCCTAGAACAAATATGGTAAGAAGCACATGAATCCAACATCCACTCTGTAGAGTCGGCAACACAAACTAATGGTAGTACAGGGTACGAATAGCCTGAAGAATCCGAATCTGAATTTTCACCACTAGCCTTGGCAACATTCACCTCTACAGCTTGAATAGCTTTCTCCTTATTCTTCCCGACTCGATCAACCAACTTTGGGCATTTGGCTTTTCAATGTCCATCCTCTTTACAAAAGGCACACTGATTCTAATGGACTCTAGGATGTGTTCCTCTAGACTGTGACCTCCTGTTTCGGTTTGGACTCTTTGCTCTTACGACCAATGCCCTCGCTACTGGCTCAATTAAAGTCTCATTATCCTTCTTCCAAAGCTGATAATTCACAAGTGTAGCGGTGACCTCACTATACAAAAGAAATACTTTCCTATTAATCAGAGTAAGGACAAAGGCCTCATATTCCTCGCCAGGCAAGGAACTCAACAACAGCAACGCCTTGTCTTCATCTTTAACCATAACATCTACATTCGCCAAATCCGTAAGAAGCTTCGTGTAGTGGTTCATGTGATCACCAATGGAGATTCCTTTCTTTAATTGGAAGCGGTAAAGCCTCCTCTCCAAATACAAGCGATTTTACACACTCTTGATCAAATACTTGCTTTCAAGGATCTCCCAAATCTTTTTTGTTGAAGTCTCATTGATCACATCATATTTCAAATCTTGTGTTAAACAAGACCTAATCACACCACACGCCGTTCAATTCATCTTCTTCCAAACCTTCTCCTCAATGTCGTCCGGTTTTCCGTCTAACTCCAAAGTGTCCTCCAAATTTTGTGCGTTGAGCGCATCCAAGACTTCACATCTCCAAAGACCAAAATTGTTAGTACTGTTAAACTTCTCAACATCTATCTTTATAGAGTGGATATTCAAACTTTGGGCGGTCTTCACGCCGGAAGTACCCTCCATAACTCATTCTTTCTCGACCATCTTTCTCAAAACACCAACAAACCAATGTGGAACAAACGAAGAATAGATCTAAACTGAAAAAAGAGATATTTTTACCTCCAACTGAAGCCCTAACAAGGGCCTCCAAAATATCTCACCCCACACGATGGTAGACAAGATCCACAATAGTAAAAATTTCATCTTTATCACTGACTGAAGCCCTAGATGAGTTTCCAAAGTGATCTACTCCTCCACCTAGCTAGCCCAAGTGTAGCCAAAGCTCTGATAACACTTGTTGTGCGTGGAAGCCAACTGTTGTGCTTCGATGAACCAAACCAAATACCGAGAGAGAAGACCAAACAAACCAAAATGACGACACAAACACAAACACACCAATTTTACGTGGTTCGGCACGTTACCTACGTCCACGGGGCAAGAAGGGGATGGAGTTTTCACTAATGGAGAAGAAGAGTACAAACTGAGATTACAAATCACTTAAACTCACCAATTAATCTCACCAACAAAACTCTTAATCTCTCAAACAAAACTCTAACCAATAGCTCCAGAAAATACCTTTTTTCTGTGCTCAAAATATCCCCACAACAACTCACCAGAAACCCTAAAACGTGTTGGTGTATATACCAAACACTAAACCAATTCAGAACAGGAAACTGCAAATTTGGGACTGACCCGATACGCGGTCGACTGCGACAAATGACAGAGCCCAAAAAACAACTACAAGCTTCGACGGTCGACCGCGACAATCGACCGCACCCAACTCCAGACTCTCGGGTTTGGATTATAGGGTCTGGCGATCGACCGCACCAAGACCTGAATCAAGCCCAAGGTCCATGCACGAATACGGTCGACCGACCTTGCACCGCGGTCGACCGCACACCGTTAAAAAACCAATTCCTACTTCCAAAACCTATTCTAAACCAATTCCTTCGCCAAATCTACACACCAAACATTTTAAACAATTGTAAGAGAGAAAAAAAATACACTCAGAGGTCTTATTTACAACAAATAGAACTGCAGGTGATCTATTTGCAACAAATAGAACTACACGGGTCTATAGGAGATCTGTTTGCATTTAACCCTTAATATAATTAAGGGAAGCAGTTGTGATAGGAAGAATAAAAGTGGAAGGGGATAAAATACTAAGGATAAAATCATTTCGTTGTATGAGTCTCAGAACTGTTAGCATGCGAACAAGCAGTTCTGAGCCATACATGGAACACATGAAAGGGCAAATGGGTAATTTTCACTCCCTAGTGTAAGGCTCGCAGGTTTTGAGAGAAAACCTATTCTTTTTTTAGGGCAAAAATAAAAAGTCACCTCTCCCTCAACTAGGGGCGAGCTTAATTTAGGCAGACCTGAATAAGCCCATCAAACCACTGCAATTCTACAAATTGTGGTTTGCTTCGGCTTTGATCTTAATCAGGTTCAGTTCAGTGGAATTATAGCTCTCAATAACAGGAAGGCAGCTAGACTACTTGCTAATATTTGCATAATTTTACTCCTTCACATGAGAAAATAATTGACCTGCAACACTTTCTTCTGGGTCTGTTTGGCTATTTCCACAAAAAATCAGAAATGGAAATGTCACTCTTGAAAACATTTCAAGACATTTCCAAGGTTTCTTTTTTTTTTGTTTCGCAAAAAAAACTCCCCTTTTTACTGCCAACTCACACAAACAAAAAAAAAGCTTCCATAGTAACAGTGACTAGAGTTCTATTTCTTGTGTTTGTTTGAGAACAAGAAAAAGAAAATAAGAAACCTCTTATTTAAATAATACGGTTTATTCTTCTGAACTATTCAAATAGTTTTTTTTACTAATTAAAAATTCTCAGATGAGATATTTCCAAGTGTTTTCAGCACATTTTGTTGTGAAAACACATTTCTTGAAATATTAAGGTGACATCCTACGTGGCAGTCTATTTCTCAAAATTCAAAAACAAAACAAACTATGTGAAATAAAAAAGTCTTGAAAACAAAAACCCATGTGGCACATGAGGGTTTTCTTGAAAGGTGAGGTGACAACACATTTCCTCTTTTTTTTGAGCAAACAAACAGGCCCTGAATGAAAATATATACCAAGAAATGAAAAAAATACTAAATTTGACTTCCATGTACATGGACCCAGATACAGGACATGAAGGTGATTCTTTATATAATCCTCAACCGAATAAACCAATATTAATCCTTAATGAATGCAAACGACATGTATCATGTACAATGGAATCATATGCTTTTATTCTGTCAATTGTGAATGAAATCTAAACAATCAAAAATCAACACGTTCGTGTAGACTATAAGATGAACTATAGCAATACTCCAGTCTATCAGAAATAGGTTCAGAACGAAGCTTAACCCGTTTAGAGCTACTCAAAAGATCGACTAGTGATGGAAGAGGGCGGGGAACTGGAACATTCATTGACCTGTACAACTTCTTCAAGCTAATATTGAGATCTTTAGAGGATCCCATGCGTGAGAATTCCCCATCAGCATCAACCACTTTCACAGGGTTAGTGCTAGTACTGTCACAAACTGAAGTTCTAGACGATCCAGCACATGATATCTCCTTACCAGAGTTAGCTTCAATTGATTTATCTATACTATGCTCAGCACTTTCGGGACGCTGAAATGATTTGACGCATATATTCTTCTTAAGATCCACCGCTTTTACTAATTTCTGAGAACATGATTCAGAAATATCACCCTCTTGTACTGTGGACACATGATCAGTGATTATGCCATTATTCTCAACACCAGCAGGCTCAGATTTCTTATCTTGCAACAATTCAATATCTGGAATCCCGAACCTTGCCCTTCCAAATAATGTCACATTTCTTGAGCCAGCTAATGTGGATAGTTCACTTTTAATCTCTGAATGCTTTGCAGATACTTCTTCGAGCTGCAAGTGATCAGGTGCTACAGAAACTGTGGAATCTTCAACAATGGAACTAACAGTAACATTCTCCGCTTCGAAGGCTATGGCCGATGATGAAGAAACAGACTTTCCTTTACTAACTCCAAATAGTTTCCAAAGGGGATCGTCAGTAGCTATACGGGTTTTATAGCAATATTTCTTGACATAATCCAGCTCCATGGCTCGACAAGGGGGAGTTGTTGAAATTACCCATTTGGGCTTAAGTAGCTGCAAAGCCCATTCAAGCTCGTCTCGAGAAGAGTGCATTGAGTAACACACGTGATAGATTCCGAACTCGTCTCTTATTGCTTCGAGGAGTTCTGGTTTTCCTGTTTGAGTTGTCTCAGGTTGATTATTGTGGGCGTACCATTGTGAAGATGGACGGAGAAATAGAGGTGATGGTTGAAGATTAGCTTGTGCCTCGGCAAGCTTTTGGCTTGCCCTTTCGTTTAGCCTTGGAAATCCTTCAATCACCTGCAAGTTATTTATAATTAGAAAATGACTAAGCTAAATCTACTGAAGCTAAATAACTAGAAAATGACTAAGCTAAATCTACTGAAGCTAAGGTACTGCATAGTTCACTTCAAATAAGGTATCATCTAATACAGGTATAGAGCGTGTCAATGCAAGGAATATGGATCTCTTACATTGTGTCCTATGTTACCCGGGTACATCCAGTAGGAAGCCGTACCCGTACCCGTACCCAAACCTCTTGGACACTTCTTGAGCATATGCATATGTTTATTCGGGCATGTACTCCATGATATAATACACGTTCTGATTTAAAACACTCCTCATACACTTCTTGGATGTAGGTTCACATCTATTTTTTATCTATTAATCTCATGTAAATGAAAAAACAATATTGACCTTATGTAAATTATTAAATTTAATATATATTAACATGCATATATATAGCAGTGTCCCCGTACCCTTCTTTTTACAAATTTGCCGTGTCATGTACCCGTACCTGTACCCATGTAACCTTGATTGTGTCTTTGCTCATCTTAGGTGTGGGTGTTTTCCTTTTTCTTTTCTCATTTTTGGCAAAATTTGGTTTAGTCCCCTGGAATTCTCGGAAATTATTTTCTTCCAATTATGTTTCCTTAATTTCTGTAGCCTGGAATCAATGAATTCCTTATTTTGACCATTTACACCCCTCAATACAAAACCGTCTGCTAAATTATAGAATCTTTTTCAGTATAATATCAGTGTTACGGTTTAATTTTGAGTACAGAACCATTCATATTAAAATATTTTGTAAAGAAGTTGAATCATTAATTCCAGGAAACTATGCAAGATTGCAAGGTGTTTTTTTATTTTGGTTACCTTTTGGTATTTTCCTGTTCTCCTTACAAAAAAAAGGTCTCATTTCTGTTACTACGCATAAGTAGATGAAAACTTTTCAGAATATTTTTGCACCTTGAATGCGAGCTTTATTTTGTTTGTTAAATAAGTAGGTGCAAAGTATTTGCTCCATCTACAGGTTAGGTAAGAAAAGGTGCTTATCCCTTATAAATCTTATTAACCCAAGTATTATCTCCAGAACTGACAAAAGTTAAGAGAACATCCACCTGAAAGCGAGATGAAGCATCTGATGAAAGAATTTCTGGAGCTACAAGCGAAAGAGCATGAAAGCATTCTGGATTACTCGTATCGTCAACATATATCTTGGATCCAAAAGTTTTTGATACTTGAACAAGTATCTCTTCCTGGCCTAGCATATCACAGGCAAGATAAACAACCGGTGCATCTGGGTGTTTCCATATGCAATTTATCACCTGAAGCAGTCAAATAAAAAGTGATAACCGCATGTTGCAGTTATGATTTTTTCTTTTCTGGGTATATATACCCCTAAATCATGTGTATTCGCAAAACTACACCCCAAATCAAGAAATCGACTTTGTTGTATATGGTGTGTAACTATTTGACTATTTTGTTGATATTTTTACATTGTGATTACAAATTAGCCCATCAAAATTGTTAATTTGTTGATGTGGAGGGTACTCTGTTCCAAACTTGATGATTTGGGGATAGCTTTGCATATACTGAGATTTGGGGAGGGTTCTGCAGATATGCATGATTTAAAGATATGTATACAAAAACCTTAGAAAACCAGCATATCTATTGTATACAAACGAGAAGGTCCAAAGGAAAAACCTGTTGTACGGCTGCTTGCTTGCTTGGAATTTTGAGAGAACATCTACTGAAAGTGCAGTCCAGAAATAAGTAATCAAGATTACACAGATTTTCTTCCCCTTTCTTAGCTATATATTTCATAGGCAGATGCTGCAGGTAATCAGGGGTGAGCCTACAGTCCCCAGTATGTAATATGTTACCAAATTCACCTTCGAATAAAAACATAACAGCCCCTGATGAAAAGCAAGTCAGTCAAGGCTTGATACGTTTGATTATTGATCTAATATATACTTATAAAGTTATAAGGGTTAAAGAAAAACAAATAAATATATGAAAACACTTTGCGTGGTCACTGTTTGCTAGTTGAATAAGTAACATACATCAGCAAAATCAGAACCAAAACGTACAATTCATGAAAGAAGAAAATATGATGACATTAATGAACATTACACTTCACTCAAATTACAAGGCTCTTTTACCTCCAGCATTTAGTCTAAGGGATGTAGACTCAAAGCTGGAATCAAATAAATTGTTGGATAGCGGGTTTCCTAATCTGTTTTGGTAACATGATTCTTAATCTATTTTGGTAACAGGTTATTAGGATTCCTAACTTGTTTTGTTTTTTTGTTTTAGAATTCCTAGTCTGTTTTGATTTTAGGTTTTCTAAATATATGGAACGCCTTAGAAGATATTAGACATCAGAAAAAGAGGGTTTTGAGAGAATTCTTCAGAGAGATCTCAGAGAGATTAGATCCTATTTGTAGGTATTGTAATCTTCTTCAATATTAATCAAAGAATTGTGTGGTGTGGCTCCCGAGGACGTAGGCACCATTGCCGAACCTCATTAAATCTGATGTGGTTTTTCTTGTTTACTTTCATGTAAGTTTTAATCTTTTATTTGATGTGATTTTTACTACTTTCCTACTCTCAAACATAAGATCCGGAAGGGTAAGGGTTCGATTTGATTGTTTCGAATCCCCAACAACTGGTATCAGAACTTCGTTCAGAAGGATTGTGAGAGAGCCATGACAGAGAAAAGCAAATCTAAGATCGAGAAGTTTAACGGTTCAGACTTCGCCTACTGGAAGTCGCAGATGGAGGACTATCTGTACCAGAAGAACTTGTATCGCCCGTTGATGGGAAAGACTAAGAGAAAGAAGAAAGGAGAGTCAAACGAAGATTGGGAGATACTGGATAGGAAGGCTCTAGGGCAAATCCGGTTGTCACTTGCCAAGACAGTCGCACACAACATATTGAAGGAGAAGACGACGGTGGTGCTTATGGAAGCGCTCGCAAAGATGTATGAGCAACCGTCTGCCGTAAACAAGGTGCATCTCATCAAGATACTATTCAATCTCAAGATGGCAGAAGGACGCTCCTTCACAATACACCTCAGCAAGTTCAACACGATTGTTGATCAACTCCTCTTCGTAAATATCACGTTCGATGACGAAGTGCAGGCCCTATTGATTCTATCGCAGTTGCCGGATAGCTGGACAGGTTGTGTGATGGCAATAAGCAATTTGGCGAGGAAGGAAAAATTGAAGCTGAGCGAGGTTGTTAGTATGATTCTATCCGAGGAGGTTAGAAGGAAATCGTCCGAATCAAAAGGTTCAGGTTCAGTCCTAAATTTCGAGCAAAGAGACAGAAGCCAAAAGAAGGGGAATCAAACGGGAATCGGTCGAAGCAAACAAAAAGAGATCAAACTCGAAAGTTAGGCCTATTAAAGGGAAGTGTTGGAACTGCGGTCAAGAAGGCTATACGTCTTCAGCTTGTAAAGCACAAAAGAAGGATGTGAATGAGCAAGAGGCTCATATCGTGCAGGATGTCTTAATCCTAGCTATGGACAGCGATTTTGATTCCTGGGTTATCGACTCAGGAGCCTCGTTCCACGCCACTGCTAATAGGAAGATTCTTCATAACTATGTAACATGGGACTTTGGAAAAATATACTTGGGGGATAATGAACCATGTAGTGTTGTTGGAAGAAGAGATGTGCAAATACAGTTGAAGGGTTCTAAGTGGAATCTGAAGAATGTGAGACACGTACCGAAACTGAAGAGGAATCCTATTTCGGTTGGCTAGCTTGGAGCAGAAGGCTATGTTTTAACATTCACCGGGGATTCGTGGAGGATCTCAAACGGTACTATGATTATTGCCCAAGGTAACAAAACAGGAACTCTCTACCTCACCTCACATACGAGTGACACCCTCGTAATTATAGCTGACAAAGAGAGTACGGATCTGTAGCACAATAGATTGGGACACATGAGCTAGAAGGGGATGAAGATTCTACATTCATAGGGGAAGCTAACCGACATTGATTCCGTGAAAGTCGGTATTTTCGAGGACTGTATCTTAGGAAAGCAAAAGAGAGTTAGTTTCCAGAAGGGTGGAAGACCACCTAAAACTTAGAAGCTAGAGTTAATTCATACTAACGCATGAGGTCCAGCTAGCATGTCTTCTCTTCACGGTTCGACATACTATATCACCTTCATCGACGATCACTCGAGGAATGTGTGGGTATACTTCATGAAGCACAAGTCAGAGGTGTTCGGGATCTTTAAGAAATGGAAGACCATGATGAAGAACGAGATAGATCTGAAGGTAAAGTGTCTGAGATCAGACAACGGTAGAGAATACGAGCTGGAGGAGTTCAAGAGGTTCTATGCTCTAAATGGAATTCGTTTGGAGAGGACTACTCCAGGGACGCCGCAACAAAACGACGTTGCAGAGAGAATGAACAGGACATTGACGGAGCATGTCAGGAGCATGCGATTACATGTAGGTCTGCCTAAGACATTTTGGACGGATGCGGTACATACGGCAGCTTACTTGATTAATCATAGGTCATCAGTTCCATCGAATTATAGGATTCCAGAGAAGGTTTAGAGTGGCAAGAAGATCAATCTCTCACATCTGCGAGTATTTGATTGTGTGACATATGTTCATATCAGTGATCATGTCAGGGACAAGCTAGAGGCTAAGTCACAGAAGTGCACATTTATTGGATACGACATTGATGAGTTCGAGTATCGTCTTTGGGATGAGAAGAATATGAAGATCATCAGAATCAGGGATGTGATATTCAATGAGGAGGTGATGTACAAAAACAAAGACAATGCCAATGATAGCTAAAGCAGTGGGAGCAACACTACGGATACAGGTGGATCCGAGTACATGAATTTGGAGGAACTTTCAGATGGGGACGATAAAGTCAATTCTGATCGAAAAATGGAAGAGGCTCCAGATGCAGAGACGACTACCCAGAGTGTGGAGTTTAGAAGGTCATTCATGGTACCCAAACCGAATTTCAGATATCTCTCATCACTTAATTATTTATTTTTGACAGATAGTAAAGAATCGGAATGCTATGAGGAGGCTTTGTAAGTGAGTGAATCTCAATAGTGAAAGCATGCGATGCAAGAGGAGATGGATTCTCTATACACTAATGAGACATAAGAGTTAGTCCAGCTATCTGCACAGAAGAAAGCCTTGCATAACAAATGGATTTATCGGGTCAAGCAGGAGAGTAATGAAAGCAAGAGATACAAGATCAGATTAGTCATGAAGGGGTTCCAACAGAGGGAAGGAGTGGACTATACGGAGATATTTTTCTCCGTTGTGAAGCTCACCACCATCAGAGTGGTGCAGACCTTAGTAGCTGCAGAATATCTCTACCTTGAGCAGTTAGATGTGAAGACCGTCTTTCTTCATGGTGACTTGGATGAAGAAATCTACATGAAGCAACATGTTGGCTTCATTGAAGAAGGAAAGAAAGAGATTGTGGGTAAGCTCAAGAAGAGTTTGTACGGATTAAAACAGACCCCGAGATAGTGGTATAAGAAGTTCAACAACTTCATGCAGAACAATGACTACAGAAGATACAATTCAGATCATTATTGCTACTTCAAGAGGTTCGAGTCTAGTTTTATCATATTGTTATTGTATGTTGATGATATGTTAGTTGCAGGACCGAATTTAGAGGAGATAAACAACTTGAAAAAGCAGTTGGCAAAGGAGTTTGCTATGAAGGATCTGGGTGCAGCGAAGCAGATTCTAGGGATGCGAATCAGTAGAGATAAAGCTGAAAGGATGTTGAGGTTGAGTCAAGCTGAATACATTGAGAAGGCACTTCAGAGGTTCAACATGCATAATGCTAAGGTTGTTAGCACGCACCTTGGAAGCCAATTCAAGCTATCTGAAGAGCAATCGCCTAAGACAGATACAGATAAAGAGCATATGAGTAGGGTACCATATTCTTCGGTCATTGAGAGTCTCATATACGCGATAGTTTGTACGAGACTGGACATTCTCCATGCAGTAGGAGTTATGAGCAGGTTTGTAAGCAATCTAGGGAAATAGCATTAGGAGGCCGTGAAGTGAATATTACGCTACTTGAGAGGGACTACGGACAATCACTATGTTTCAGGAGAAAGGAGTTGGTACTGCAGGGATACGTGGATGCAGACTTCGTCGGTGATCATGATACGAGACAGAGCACCACGGGGTATGTTTATACCTTGGCGTCGACAGCAGTGAGTTGGGTTTCACGTCTACAAAAGAATGTAACTTTGTTTACAACTGAAGCTGAGTATGTTGCGGTGACTGAAACAAGCAAGGAGATGATTTGGTTGAACGGATGTTTGGAAGAGTTGGATCTGAAGCAAGGAAGAGGAGTTCTTTATTGTGACAGCCAGAGCGCTATACATCTTGCCAAAAATCCAATATATCATGCCAGAACGAAACACATCGACGTACGATACCATTTATACTCTCGCTGACTGAGGACGGGAAGTTACATCTAAAGAAGATTTTTGGGAGAATTAAAACCATGCGGATATGTTGACGAAAGCAATGACCATTGACAAACTGGAGTTTTACGCAACTTCAGTTGGCCTTCACGTGTAGGAGATGAAGGTGGACCCACACCAGGAGGATCGTCGGGATCACCGGGTTGATGATAATTGAAGAATGATTTTTTTTCGTGTAGGAGGATGCTTGCGAAGAAGGGAGAGTTCGGATGAGCTTGTTAATTGTGCTTAGTCTAAGGGATGTAAATTCAAAGCTAGAATCAAACAAATTGTTGGATAGCAGGTTTCCTAATCTGTTTTGGTAACAGGATTCTTAATTTGTTTTGATAACAAGTTATTACGATTCCTAATCTGTTTTGTTTTTTGGTTTTAGAATTCCTAGTCTGTTTTGGTTTTAGGTTTTCTATATATATGGAACGCCTTAGAAGAGATTAGACATCAGAAAAAAGGGTTTTGAGAGAATTCTTCAGAGAGATTAGATCCTATTTGTGGGCATTGTAATCTTCTTCAGTATTAATCAAAGAATTGTGTGGTGTGGCTTCCGAGGACGTAGGCACGATTGTCGAACCTCGTTAAATCTTGTGTGTTTTTTCTTGTTTACTTTCCTGAAAGTTTTTATCTTTCATTTGCTGTGATTTTTTTTACTTTCCTACTCTCAAACATAAGGTCCGAAAGGGCAAGGGTTCGATTTGATTATTTCGAATCCCTAACACAGCATACGCCTCGCTCTTGAGACTTTAATGTTAAGTGCAATCTATTGTAGCATTCTTATTTCATGTATGGTGATTTATTTTTCCTGAGTGACATCAGCATCAGAAATCTAAAGCCAAAACTCAGTCTTTTGAGATACCTATTCGAAACATCCATTACATTTGTCAATTAGACCATAGAAGATTCAAGTTGATAAAACATAACTGATGTCAATCCCAAGCTTCACAGAAAAAGATGAGCTTTCCCGTTATCTTGAAAACATTAGCTCAAATTAAGCAATGATAGTTAAGAATTCTTTTGGGAAGCTTTTGGTAAATATAAATTGCAGCCGCATGACTTCTAGTTCATGAACGTTCAAAGGAACTTCCGAACTTGCAATGATTTCTAATTTTCAAATAGATACTCCTCTATTAAACCCCTCAACAATTTCTAAGAGTAATATTGAACTTCTTTAAAATATAGACTTCAGAAATATTGTCTCATTCTGAGATACCTTATTTCAGCTATATCGACTCGAATCTTCCTTGTCCTGCAGACCAATCTGGTTGGCGTAGTCATAGGCAAATCTACATAACAAGGACAGTTCTTAGTTTGTTTCTTGTTTTCTTTAAATATAATGAGCCCCTTCCACCCTATCCAAATATGAAGGAACAATTCCTATCATGAATGACAGTATCATATGGCTGAGCAACTGTCCTCTAAGTTCCTCAATTTCTCAGACAAGGATGAAAGCATACAGGTCGAATCTTTGCAGGCGACACTCATCTTTTAAAAATTACAAAAAACACTAATCTTGTGGCTTAAGATTCTCTTTTTGGGTAACAATTTTTTGCTTTATTTTTTTTGGGCATATATTCATTTTCATATTCCAACCTTATAATCCAGTCACAATGCCCTACCATGCAACAGCCGAACTTCAAGTGCATGTATTCCCTTATCATCCACCTCCTCTCATCCATTTTCAAACGCTCATCTTTCAATTGTCAGTGTTATCATTCGCTCATATTTTCTCCTTTCCACTCAAATTTTTTCATGATCAGCTGAACATCTTTAACACTCTAGCCACCAATATAAAGCAGAGGTCTTCAAACTTTTAAACAATCGATTGAAAGGTCAAATGTCAACCCTTTTATATACAATGTACATAAAATTACAGGCAATAAGCAATAACAATTTCTATTATCTAATAATCTTAGGCTAACATGTTTCTACCTTTGCTTTCTATTAGATTTGATAGTATTTGCTATCTAATTTATGGGCAACATATTGTTCTGTAGCAAATTCTAGACCTTTATTGATGATTTATTCTTCTTGCTTTCTTTTAATATAATTAGCCAATTCCACCCTTCAAATATGAGGGAAAATTTCTATCATGGATGACAAATCATATGGCTTAGCAACTGTCCTCTAAGTTCGTCAAGTTCTCAAACAAGGGTGAAAGCATACAGGTCGAATCTTTGTGGGTGAGCACACTCAAGTTTTAAAACATTACTAAAATGCACTAATCTTTTCGAGTTTTGCCTTAAGGTTTTTCTTTTTGAGTAACGATTACTTCTCAAACATCCATCTTTCAATTGTCAATGTTATCATCAGCCCATATTTTCTCCTTCCCGCTCAAAAATTTTCTCAATCAGCTGAACACTTTTAACGTTAGCCACCAATATAAAGCTGAGGCCTTCTAATTTTATAAAAATAGATTGAAAGGTCAAATGTCTACCCTTTTATATATAATGTACATAAAATTAAAGGCAATAAGCTATAACAATTTCTATTATCCTATAATAATCTTGGGGCTAACATGTTTCTACCTTCGCTTTCTATTAGATTTGATAATATTTACTATTTAATTTATGTGGAAGATATGAATGTTCTGTAAAAAATTCTAGACCTCCATTGATGATTCATTCCTCTTTGTAATCTCCTGGTGAAACTTTGACCCAAGGAAATTGATAGCCGCAATAGGAGAGTTCTCTTTGATGGCCCAGATTTGTCAAATGCCATTAATCTGTCTTTCCTCAACTTTGCGAAGTTTGAGTTTCCATTTCTTTGAAATGATGCATAAAACTTATATTGCTCCGCTATGCCTTCCCAAAGGAAAAAAAACATGTGTACGCCAGTGATCGCAGACTCGTTACATTTCGAAAGCACCAGCTTTTCAAGCCACTTTTTGGAGACATCACCCTTTTCTTTAATTGGGTCTAGTAGCTACTCATTTTGTCAAATGGTCTAGAGATTTTGCAAAGAAAAGGCAGGTACACTTAGTTTTATTAAAGAGAATATAACAAACCATTAGATAAGCACACAAGGAAAGTAGATATAGAGCCCCTGACAACATACCATAACCTTTAATAATGATAATAAGGGAGTCTCTGTCTTTCTGAAGATAATACTTAGTGAAGGAGAAACAAATTCAGACTAATTATCTCAATAAAGTTCTAGAATGACAAGTCATCGTGGACATTTGATGAGGAAAGTGCAGAGGGCTTCAATCTGTAGGAGAGAGATCGGCGACGACTTGGTGGAAAGGTGTTGTAGTCCATCACGAACAACAAGAAGGTTACTGGGATGAATAGTGCACGAGTTACTGTTCACGGATGAACAGTACTCCGCATTTGGGGTATTAGGTTTTCTTCTGATATCTATGAATGGTGATGATCTTGATAAATGGCTAAAATGTGTGAGGAGTGAATTTTGATTGAACGATATCGAAATTGTGGAGCTAGGATAAAAGAACGGCCTTACACCCAAGGGCATCACTCCCGGACACTTCACATGTCATAATTTTACCATTTCACATTCTAACAAAGGATTCCCTTAGGATTTTTGTCCTTTCTTGATAAAATCTATTCGTAAGGGAAAATAAATGTTCGGATTGATGTCTTTCAGTCTTTCCTTAGTTTCATCGTTCTCTGCACATCTTTTGTAGCATTTGTCTCCATTACTCTTGACATCAAGCTTTAGATTGCTGCTGTTAAGTTTCCTATGATAGTGAACAATTTCTATAACAAATAAGGCCAAATTTGTTTCTTTTGGTGGTTATGTGTATTCCTCTTCAGGCAGTTTGTTTCCAGTGATCCGCCTTGTCTGTAACTGTATGTAATGCATCAAATTCTATAGCTTAATCCAGTTGTGAAGGACATATTTCAGCATAGTTAGAAGTAGAATGGAGCAAAGAAGTCACCCGAGCAATATTCCACGTTAATTTGAAAACTAAATTAGCCTATTAATAAATTTTTTTATAAAGGAAAACCCATTTCAGACAAACAAAATCCTCAATATCGCAGATTCACGAAGGAAATACAACAACTACACCGCTCTATTAGCAAATAAGCGTCAAAACCGTCCCCAAAACAGCATCCAAGAATAGAAAGAAAAAAAAATCACATTTTGCGAGAACCCAGATCCCCAAATGACCGGAAGAGAATCAAACAACCCGAGAAACAATCACCTGGGCAGTGATTAGCATCGAAAGCCGAGACAGTAAAATCCCCATCAGGATCCCTCACCGTCACCGACGCCCCAACCTCAATTTCCACAAACACGGCTTCCTCAACCTACAACAAACCAAAAAAAAAAAAAATTAAAAAAAAATGAAACACAAAATCGCAACCGGGTTTGAATGATCGGCAAAAAACCTGAGGGAAATTTTGGAGGACGATGGATTTGGTGATCCTGGTAGCGTAGATGGGATACGAGGAGTTGGCGGCGATGCCGGAGAGGTGATCCTTGTGAGCGTGGGTGAGGAAACGGTGGCGCTTGAGATTCGATTGGGGAGTCCACGTGTCTACTGAGAATGGGAGGCCTCTGGGGATCTCTATCGGCATCTTGACCCCTCAAATTCTCCCCTCTTCCTCAAATTTTGACGGGTTTGATTGTGTCGATAGCTTGCAGAGGAAGGAGGGAGGCAGAGTTAGAAATTTCGGGAGGGATGGGGTTTCCCTCTTTTTTTTCCAATTTTGTTTTTGGGTTTTTGCCTCTTTATTTGTTTGGGGGACAAATTTTCAAAACCAACCCTTTTCATGTTTTAATTGAAAAAAACGATCTGTTTCCAATTTATTTAGAAAAACCGACCTGGTTTCAGCACTGTCGCTGAAACCAGGTCGGTTTTTCTAAAAAACTTTACGAAACTTCACGGGAGTTTAACTCCCGTGAAGTTTAGTACGTTTTTAAACTTCACGGGAGTTGAACTCCCGTGAAATTTATTTCCCTCAATAAACTCCACGGGAGTTCAACTCCCGTGGAGTTTGTTCTATTGTTAAAACTCTACGGGAGTTGAACTCCCGTGGAGTTACAGGCCAAATTTTCCAGAGAATCGCTCTCTGGGAAATTTACACTGCAATTTCACGGGAGTTCAACTCCCGTGAAGTTGCAGATTTTGCAAAAACATGCACAGCATGCATACGTCTACCTATTTAACTCATATATACAACTATTTACCTGTTGACAATAATTACTACAATATATATATTATTTAAACACGCACGAATCAAACAATACGCAAAAAGATCACATATCGAGCTATAATTGATCCATAAAAGTATAGTATTTGAAAATTCATACAATTTACAAATTTTAACAAAATAAGTTCAAATACAACCCAATATAGCTCCTCTCCTTCCTCTCCCTCTCTTCCCCCTCCCCCTCGCTCTTCCCCGCCCCCCGCGCTGATGAGCCTCGACTATCTGAGTATCCGGCTGTGTGTGAGGCTGCGAAGTGCCGGCTCCATCAGCATGTGAAGTGCCGGCTTCATCAGCATGTGAAGTTCCGGCTCCATCAGCATGCGAAGTGCCGGCTCCATCAGCATGCGAAGTGCCGCCGTCATCGTCACGTGGTCGTCGGCGCCGAGTGTACGCTTGCCCAAATGATCGAGACCTGTCCTCACGGCCTGCGAACTCGTCGACGTGAGTCTTATGAAACACCTGTGCTATGGTGTTCTTGATCCTGCCGAGGAGCCCTAACGCCACCTGATCCTGAATCTCAGGCACGGTCGCATCAATATCAGCCTCAATGCTATCAAAAGCACGGACCTGTGAGGTAAATAATTTATTAAGTACCAACTCAAGAAAAAAATATTATAATTTAGCTTAGAAACTTACGTAATCTCTTTCGTTCATCCCACTAGGGATGTAACTGTTTGTCGGTGGTCGTGGCATGTGTCCAGCTAAGGGCTGTGGGTCACGTGTGATCCATCTACGTATGATATCCCAATACCAACCCATATACGCGGTATAGTCAACAGCCGTGGGCCTCGTATCCTGAATGAAATCCCACCTGTGAGCCCACCTGTCTATGTAGGCCGCACGGACTACGACCCAGTCGTTATGGTGCGAAGTAGGTCGCCGCCGACGAGAGATCTGCTCAACAGGATCTGGCACATGCTGAGAGAGCGTAAACTATCGTAGCACACGGTCAGGGACATGCATCTCCACGATCTCCCAACAAATTAATGGAACTCTCGCTCTCCACAAGTCGGGACTATCTCGGCAGATGGGTGCAAGAGAATGCATATCCAGCTCCGGCGGTGTATAGGGTCTCCACTTGAACTGAAATAAAATAAAAAATTTATCAGTATCAACAACAAAATTATAATATTCATAACGACTTGAGATTTATATTTACATGTTCGTGTTGGAGGCCATCAAGCTCATTTCGGTAAAACTCACGATGGCGCATCGCTGATCGGTACTTAGCGTACCGCACGTTATACCTATATGCAGAATAGAGAATATATAAGTACAAATTCAGTACGAATAAAATTTGTGTGTACAATTATACCTGTACGCCATAGGAAACTGCCCCTGTAGGTCACGGTGCACAAGTAAAGTAGGGCGTCCAATATGAATGCGCTCCCATGACCACATCTGTATCAATGTGCAGCATCCCTTGAATTCTTTATTCTGCATCAGGGATACTCTACTCAGTTCTCGATACAAGTATGCCAACACCACACTGCCCCACGACAGTGCACCGCATACGTCAAAATCCTCTAGCAACGGCAGCCATCGTGCATGTACAAGAGTCTTGCTTGCATCAGGAAAAAGCACGCACCCTATCATGTGCAATATGTAAGCCCGAGCATGGAACTGAAGCGTCTCCATACTGGCATCCTCTAGTATGTCGCCCTGAAATGTCTGACTGAAGTGTCTCCATACTGGCATCCTCTGGTATGTCGCCCTGAAATGCCCTGAAATGTCGCCTGAGCATGGAACTGAAGCGTCTCCATATTGGCATCTTTTGAGTGCTTCAAGATAATGAGGTAAGATCTCATACGATTTATCCCAATCACCGAATATTTTTATCATCGCCTTCCTCCTAGCATTCCAACACTTGTGATATGATACATCCAAGTTGGTGGCTTTTTGCACTGGAAGACGAATATCTTTCGGCCTTAGATCAAGATCCTCCCTCAGATGCGGTAAAATCAATCGATATATGAAGGAAGAGGATGCATTCTTGTTATTCATCTCTAATCGAGGATTGCTACAAGTGTGGAGTCTGTTGTATGCCGTGATTTTGAATTGTCCGCCTACTCTTACACCGGAGCGTGAATTAAGCTTCCACGGACATTTTGCATTGCCGTCGTGGTGTCCATCAATATCTTCATCATCGCCATCTTTGCGATAGAAACAAACCGCATTATAGCTTGTAGTATTTTTTTTTGTTGGCCTAAACTTGACATTTTTTGCAATAGCGTACGAGCGAAGCGCATGGATCAATCTCTCATTGCTCTCATATAGATCTCCCTTCACGAATGAGAAGTCCTCGCCATGTGTATCATGACCGTTATTAGTGCCAATAGGAACACTTTTCATCACGGAGTTATCGATCCATTATTCTCCTTGAAGTTCATCGGGCGGCGGATCCTCTAAGACAACATACTCACTATTAGCATAACACCCGTCAATGTGGTGGTTGTCCCCTTCATCACGATCTATCAAGGTCATGCTATTAATTTGTAAGCCCTCCTCTTCATCATCATTCTCAGATTCAACACTTGCATTATCTTCTTGAACTCCCGTGTTAGTATCGACCGCATTCGAAGTGCCCACAAGCGAAGGACCGCTCATATATTGTGATTGTGTTCAACCTTCATCTTGTTGAGGGGATAAAAAGCCAACGGAATCAACATCAGGGTCCACCAACATGCGGGAATACATTCCATCATAATTCAACGATTTGCCCAAATTCCTTTGATGTTTTTCAATGAACAATTCAATCGAACGCTTCTCGTCATGTAAGACTCCAATGAGACTCATATCGTAGTCACTTGATATTTGAATGCCGCTTGTCCTGTTCTCCACAACAGGATAATTACAAATAACATTAAGGTGATACTCACGTGAGTTGGTTAATGTAAGTTTGTGCAATTCATTAACCAACTCATCGAAAGTACACGATTTTGTTATAAACAATGGTCTCGTCGTACCTCCTTCATAAACAGGCATATTATTTTTGAGGTATTTAATCTTCCCATCATACGAACACAAAATTATGATTCGATTTTTCATCATTACCTCTGAAGAGTAAAACATTCAAGATCAATATTACACGAAAAGACTTTAAAATTTTATTGTTACTTAAAATTAAATCCTATATCAATTTTAGGGAACCATAATTTTTTACAAATTCATATACCGATGTCATACATATGTACCAACACTATTTTTTACATTATTGATAATTTACCCTCTACCTCGACAAAATAATTTAAGTTTTCTTCACATAATTCATAAAATTCACAATTAAATTCTCAAATCTAATTGATGTCATATAGCACTAATTTTTAGATTTTTTAATTGATGTCATATAGCACTAATTTCATAACTTATTCATAATGAAATTCCTCAAATCTAATTGATGTCATATAGCACTAATTTTTAGAATAGCACTAATTTTTAGATTTTTTATAATTTCATAACTTATTCACAATGAAATTCTAAAATCGACAAAATTATTGATAACACTATTTTTTTAAAATAAATTATATGTCATACATATGTAGTAACACTATTTTTTACATTATTGTTAATTTACCCTCTAAATCGACAAAATTATTTAAGTTTTCTTCACATAATTCATAAAAATTTCACAATTAAATTCTAAAATATAATTTTTTACATGTAATCACCATTAAATAGCGAGAAAATACAGGAAATTAAGAGAAAATCTAATTTTGGGAGGAATTTACCCTCAAACTTTCGAAATCCGGCGAAGTAGGCGGTTCTGACGGTCGGAATGAAGAGCCGACGGTCGGAAAGGGGTTCCGACGGTCAGAATCAAGGGCCGGCGGTCGGATTTAGGGGGCTGGGGTCGGAAATGACGTGGACGGCGGCGGTTGGGACGGGAGAGAAGTTAGGGTTTGGGGACGGTTGCGGGGAGAGAGAACTGAGCGGAACGAGGGGTCTGGCTAATAGGCCTTCCAAGTTCACGGGAGTTGATACTCCCGTGAAGCCTGCAGAACTAAATTTCCCAGCGAGCGACTTGCTGAGGATTTTACCCTGCAACTCCACGGGAGTTGAACTCCCGTGGAGTTTATTGAGGGAAATAAATTTCATGGGAGTTCAACTCCCGTGAAGTTTAAAAACGTACTAAACTTCACGGGAGTTGAACTCCCGTGAAGTTTCGTAAAGTTTTTTACAAAAACCGACCTGGTTTCAGCGACAGTGCTGAAACCAGGTCGGTTTCTCTAAATAAATTAGAAACAGGTCGTTTTTTGCAATTAAAACATGAAACGAGTTGGTTTTGAATATTTGTCCTTTGTTTGGGGCTTTGGTCGAAGTTGCTCTCCATATCAAAGCTCGGCCCTCTACTGGGGGCTTGGGCTAAACTGAGCACAAGGCCTACGGTTTGGGCATCCGCAACGGCCCCACATAGCCCCCAAAGCAAATGGAAAAATTAGGACGGGATCCCCTCCGCTGAGAAAGAATCAACAAT